CCCCAAAACCCCAAAACCCCAAAACCCCTAGAGGCAAAAATAGAAAGAAATTGGAAAAAGTGAATACGTATGTATATGATTAAGTTAGTATTGGACTTGATAATTAAGATTGCTTTCCTTGACTATTTAAATATTATTATATCATATTAACTCAGCAAATCAACGCAACCCCTTCTGACGTCATAATTTTTTTTATCTTCCAAATATCATGTCAATGTAAGAGCACTTTCTCATTACATCTTCAAATTTCTTATCTCTTTTATGTTTAGAACACTATTAAACGATAACTAAATCAATCAATCACTTAATTCAGAGAATCTCTTGAAAATTAATCAAGAAGACACGAATCAACTAAAGGATAATATCTAATGTGTCAGTAATGAGACCAAAAATAAAACCTCACATTTGGGCAAGAGATAGAGACAAAGCACTGAGGCATTATCCACTAATTCAGATCTCTCATCAAAACCCAAAAGAGCCAGAAGAGCAGCTAATCAAAAACGCTGCAATCTAAAAAATGAAATTTCCATTAGTGATGAAGAAGATGGAGCTGATATGTCAAAGCGTGCTTCTTCTAAATCATTCAATGATGACTCAAGTGATGCTGACAGTCGTGAGAGAAGGTAAGTTTTTGATCATACCTAACACATTTACAGACTCGTTCAGAACCGTAAGAGTGCTATGAAGTGTAGACTCAAGAAAAAATATGAGTTTGATGAGATGAAAGTCAAGCTAGATGACCTCAAGCATTAGAATATTGAGCTCAATATACAGGTAAAATATAAATACATTTGAATAAATTACTCATTGATTCCCTATAGTTCAAGAATACCTGTATTTTATATGAGGACAAAATCAAAGAAAACGAGTCACTCAAGGAGAAGCTAGACTCTATTCAGGGATAACAAACTATGATGCTAGCATATGTACTCAGTCTTCAATAAAATAAGAATCAGGGATCTCCATCTTAATAGATAACTAATAATGAGGAGAATGATAAACCAAGTATTAACAAACTTTAATAAAACCTATCAAATACCCAAATAGAGGGTCTACATAACTTAAATCCTTCAATTTAAAACTAAGTCAGCCAAAAGAATCTCGGCTAAAGTCAAACTTTAAACAATAATATTGCTCTACCCATACTTATGACGTAGTAGGCTGATATTAAGAGGACCAATAATATGGTCCAAGTTCCAGATTACTAAAACTTAAACTTAAACTCTCTCATTTATGATAAACTAAGGGGGAGTCAAATGATCTAGGATCCCTCCTCACTAATGAACCTAGGACTTCATCATTAATTGATAGGTCATAACTAACTAAACCAAGGCTATGCCAACAATTAGATTTCTTACCCTACCCATAATATATATTAACAGCCATAAGCACAATAACCAATTGCTTTCAAACTAGAAAATATTTAGAGTTAATTAGGAAAGTAAGATGTGAAGATAATGAAGCCTGTGCCTAGCAAATCTTCACCAGTGCCACAGCATTACTAATTCCTATCAGGATAGCAATTTACCATATCACATATGAACGGGGACCTCCAACAATAATAAAACCTACTTTTATTAGAAAAGTTAAAACAACAAATGTATCAATGAGACGATAAAGCTTAACTCAAACATAACCTTTGACTAAGTAAAAGTATTAACAACATGCACATATTAAACAATGGTATCTATGAGGTACTTTAATTATTAGTGTAGAATAATTGGGAACAATGTATATAAAAACTTGATCTAAAAATCAAGGATATGAGACCAGGCTTCCAATAATTCCACTATGAATAGAGTACATTAGTATATATCATATTCCGAATGTTAATTTACCTTAAGGTATTATTTAATAATCTCCTACTATACTCAATATAAAATAATGCGGGGTTTTGGGGTTTTGGGGTTTTGGGG